TTAGTTTGTTTGTCACTTTTTTTTTTTTCCGAAAGACAGTTTGTTTTGTGACTTGGCTGGGTTGATTTTGGTCTTTCTAAAAAAGCTTTCATATTTTAGTCATGGTAATTTAAAAATATTTATTTTAATCATTGTACTTATACTTTTTAAACTTAATTATTTTAGTCTCTCAATTATATTCTTAATCTCATTTTTTTTATATCACAATTTCAATTCGATATTTAAATCAATATATTTCTTAAAATTTAAACATTAAATAATTTCTATTATGTGTAAAATTTTATAAAAAGAGACTAAAATTATCACTCTTTAAAAATATGGAGACGAAAATAACCATTTTCAAAGTAAAGCGATTACAATGAGCCAAACTTTAAATACAAAGATTAAAATAAATATTTTTAAATTACAAAAACTAAAATCAACAAGTTCGGAATTAGAAGGATGAAAATAACATTTCTAACTTAATATTTTTTATTACAAAACCATTGTTTCAACCTCGGATTCCGAAGGGATTTTGAAATCTATTTCCAAGGTTTGAAAAAAGAAAAGAAAAATGAATTTGAAATTATAAATAATTTGAAATCATTTTTCTTTTTCTTTTATTTTTTTGTCAAAATAAATATATCTTTTTATTACAAATAGATTCAAGGGTTACATGTTCGTTTTCCTTCTATTTCAATTTTGATAACTAATAATTTGGATCTTATCTGTTTACGTTTGAATAGTATATTCCATCAAAATTTGATTTTCTTTCTTTTTGGAGTTGATTGAGTCTAATAAACTAAAAAGAAAAAATAAAATTAATTTGATTCCAGGGGGAGGTTTTGATTATTTAATCTACAAAATTATAAGGGTATAATAATAAAATGTTATATTTTATTTTCTTGAATATTCCAACCACAAATTTTAATTTCAAATCAATTTAGTTTCACATTCCAAATCATTTCTATCTTTTAACAATAAAATATTATAATTTAAAATTATTTTTTATCAATCTCATACACCAAACGGAACATAAAAGAATAAGGTTGAAAATTTATTCAATCTTAATAACCCTTAAAAAACAATGAATCAAACCCAATTAATCCTGAAATATTTAGGCTGGACTAGTTTGAATTACTTTTGAGTTACATATATAATATTTTATAAATTAATGGAAAAAAAAAAGTAAAGGCTAACATCTCAAACTATTATTTACATATTTTCTAATAATTCAAAACTCATAGTCAACGTCAAATTTTTAAAATTATTTTTAAAAGGTATTAATAATAAATAATTCATAAAAAATTATTGAATTAAATATATCCAAGTTATAAAATATTTTAAAATTAATAACAAGGTCAGATGATTCATTTTAACCAAAATTTATTTGAGGTAAATGGTTACCTAAACCAATCTTTTAACTCACGTAGTTTTGATTTATTTAAATCCAATCCAATTAAGGTTTCGAGACATAATATTGATGGTTACTTTTATTTTATTAATAAATAATGAATAGGAAAGAAATATTTTTTTAGTTCAACCATTTCAAATGTCTTATCCATTTAGTTATGCTCGGATTGGTAATAATGAAGAAACAAAATAGCGTCGAGTATACTTGTTTTTTTTTCTTTTTTGTTTAATAATGTTTCAAAAATATAGATTCATAGCTCATTTTCAAAACCAAAAAAACAACCTTTTTTTTCTTTTTTACCAATATGATTTTAACTCAACGGTAATTAACAGTTGTCTCTCACTAAGAGATCATGAGTTTGAATCCTTATCCACTTGTTGGTACTCAAAAAGAAAAAAAAAACCATCTTTTTTGTCTGTTGGACTCTTCAAAATACTCTTTATTTTTATGGTTGGTTTCAATAATACTTCTAAACTTTCAAAAGTTTTATTTTTATTCTCAAATGTAAGATTTTCATGTTTGCACCTTTCTCTCTTCCGTTCATGCCTTAACGTTTCTTTTTGTCAACTGATTGTGAGATAAATGCTCCAATTTTTGTTGATCATTCATGATCTACTTATCTCGTCATAATTCTTTGTTCCCCATCTTTTGATCATGAGACTCAAGAGGAAGGAACAGTATTTTATTCTAATCTTCAAATTTGTTCTCCTAGCCTCCAAACTATAAAGTTCAAGAGCAAAAAGAAATTTGAAACCTTTACCACATGTACCACTATTTTACGAGTCACCACAACGTCATTTTTCAGTCTTCATTTTAACAGAAACGTTGACAAAATGATAGATTTGAAATAAGTTTAAAGTTTAAGGGTAATAGTGAAACTTTTAAAAGTGTATGGGTATTATTGAATTCTACCCTAAGGTTTATGGGTATTTTGTATTATTAACTTCTTTTTTTCTTTTTTTAGTTTTCTGCTGAATTCTTCATTTTTAGAAAACACATTTTTTTGACTCACAAACTAAACGAGATCGGGACATCACCTTTTCACCAATATAGAAATCTATTCCCAATTCAATAATCTTAGTTTAATATTTTCGAAAAAAAAATAATAATAAATAACAGAGTGAATAATTCGTATGTTCGAATTTGTGATTTGTAAAATAGCTGGAAAAATTTAAAATTGGTTTGGTTGGATTTTAGATCAAATTTGTTGAATTGATTGGTTAATATATTCTTTTTTTTTAATATATTAGAGACTAATACATCTCTGAAAAATAACAGGAAAATCAAGGGTAAAACTGAGAGAATAAATAAATAGAGCAATTAAACTTTTCCCTGTTAAAATCGCGGTTTTAAAAATTTCCATAATAGAAAATGGTTTGAGAAACTCTAAACATATATTTAAAAAAACATTCAAAGTTGCCAAAGGTGAGCATAAAATTATTATATCACGAGAATCGAAATTTAGTTTTGATAAGATTTTTCATGGGGTAGATAAATTGTTTTAAGTTATAAACGATAAGAACTAAATAGTTACCTACTAAAGCTTAAGTATTAAATTATTATCAATTTAAAAGTAAAGAAACTGGACTCTTACACACTAGAGTTTTTGCTCTGACAATGACGCCTCCAATAAATTGTTAGTAAATTACTTGAATTGAAGGCCATGATCAAGAGATTCACAAATTGATTGGAGTCATTTATCTACTAAACGAAACTAAAGAAGAGATCACAAAATGTAATATTATCAAATTCGAAGTCAAAAGGCCTCTGGATAACTCCTATGTTGCCAATAATGTTGCACATGTGCTGACTTATCAAGCTGCTTCGAGCATCCTAAGAGGAAATTTTGGGAAAGACTTTTCCCGTGTTATTAAAACTTGAGAACGACGATTTGTAAGCTATTGTGCATTCTACCTTTTCAAATAAAGAAAATATAGTTATTTGTCATATGCCATCTAATTTATTCCTTTCAATTCATCAGACAGAAACAACTGATTTCATCTTTTGGTGTAGTCATGACATGACCAACTAAACAAGTTAACAATCGTCGAAGCAAAATTGCTTACTTGAAGATTTATGGCTGTTTGATTCATAATCGGAAGCTAACCGCCAGGTGTCCTTCAATCAATAATGAGATAATTCGAACTAAATCGTTAATGAAACCAAATAAAATCACTCGCAAATTGCTTTAGAAAACAGAATCGTACAGTAATGCCGTGAGACGATTAGGCACGGTTACCAACAACGATTCCAGTCGAGGAATTTTCCCGACGAATTTTCGTTCCAAACTTCTGATTCTTACTTTCTTCCGATTCTCCTCTCACTGATTCGCCGGAATTTGAAGAACCCCAATGATTTCTCTAGCTTATGCTTCTCTATCATCCTCCCCTTCCAATTTGTCTTCTCTGAAGCTTCGTCTCCCCAGACCGCCTTCCACCTTCTCAACATCCCTCTCCAATCTCAAATCCTTAAATCCTTGCGACAAAGCAGCTTCCGACCAGGTAAAATTTTTCTATGCTTTGTGTTATTCTTTTTCTGATTGTTTGATTGGCCGCTGAATGAGAGAATTAACCCCACTTTGATCACAGAAGAGGATTGGGAATGGGGTTTGTAGGGCGGACTTGGGGAACGACGGGCCTTTTGCCGTTGCGATCGGGGCCTGCATTCTCAGTTCGTTTGTTTTTCCGGTAGCTGGCGGTGGTTCCGATGATGAGAGCGATGCCGTCATTGATTCCACCGATACCAGGTTCGCTGTCATGGGTATCATTAGCTTTATCCCCTACTTCAACTGGCTGGTATGTATGTTTCAGACTTTTCGGTTCAATTTACTTTTATTCAGATGTTATTTCATCTTCTTCTTTCGTTTAATTGGATAGAGTTGGGTTTTTGCGTGGCTTGATTCTGGGAGAAGGCTTTATGCTGTGTATGCACTCGTGTATTTGGTCCCTTATCTAAGGTGATTTCCAATTCTTAGATTATTCTCGTTTTTGTTCCCTTCGAAGCTCAGAAATTCCTAGTTTCGAATTCATTTCTAGCTGTATCAGTGAACTAGTTGTCTAAATTTCTAAGAACTCTAAATAAAGAAGAAAAAAGAAAACAAGTAGTGTGATATGAAAAGAGTAGAATGTGCCAGAATGAAGATCATGAGTTTTATTTCATCTTTTAAGAAGTTACAATAACAGGCTCAGTGCCTCAGTAGCGTCCTTATCAAAATTCAATGGACAGGGGGTAATGAAGAACGTTTCATTTTGTTATTAGTGAGTATTTTGTGCTCTGGAAAAAGTTAAGAGGTATGAAGAAGCCCTTGTAGAGTGCTTTTTGAAGCAAATAGTTCACAGTGCTCATTCTATAGATACTAGAAAAACCAAAGAGAATGAAATTTCAGATTAGTCAATTGAAATTGAAGAACCACATTCCGACCTAGCCGCAAATCCCTTTTATGTCAAAGTGGTTGTTAGGAAAGCACTTAAAATCACTTTTAACAGTATAGAGCCAAACATCACAGTAATTTGTTATTTAGCACTTTCACTAAAGACTCGAGTACTTTTGCTAATTTCCTTATTTTAAAAGCATTCCCAGTAACATCTTTTGTCATCTTCATGATGATCACTTCCTGTTAGGACGTTTCAACCTTCAGTTGTGTGGATTTGTTTAGAGCTAAAGCATTTCACCATCCTTCTGGCTAATTGTCGTGTGTTTGAACTTTTAGCCATAGCTAACAATGGAGATAAAAGAAATGAATTTTGTTCATCATTTAAATAATATACACAGCCATCATTTCATTTTTCTCACCATAATTTGTTATTCCCTTATTAGGTCAAATTTATCTCTATCCCCTGAAGAGAGTTGGCTTCCTATTGCCAGTATACTTCTCTGCATTATTCACATTCAGGTATCTTGAGAAATTTCCTGCTTATTAATTGAACTATTTACCAGAGGTTTTGCAAAATGCTGCCCTGGACATCTTGTTCCAAAACATTTTTGAACGCCAACCCATACTGTCATATTGAAATATTGTAGCATTGGCTTGTTTCCATATGCATTTTTTGTTTTCATTCACAACTTGGCATTTACTTGTAGCTTGAAGTGAGCATTAGAAATGGAGATATCCAACCCTTCCAAATATTTGGAAAAACTTCCAAGAAAATTTCTTCAACTACAAGAGGGAGAGACCATTTCAAGGGGTCCCAAGGACCACCCGAAGAGGTAAACTATACTACATAGACAAAGGCAACATACACGTGTTTATACATAATTCATTGTTCGATCTAGTTATATTTGTAATCTGCGTCTGATATGAGTAGTCTTACTTTACATTCAAGAGTGGAGAAAAAGAGGACATGAAGCTGCCATCAATTCAAGAACAATTAAGAGATGAGATTAGAAGATGGGGAGATTCTAAAGAGACATTAGATCATGAACAATCAAATGGAGAATGGGATGATGAACAGAGGAGAAAACATTAGGTGCTATGTTCTAACTTTACTCTGCTTCTGGTGGGGGGATACAAAAACTGTTAATTCTGAAGTTGTATTCATGTTTATACAGCTTGAAAATTAGTTTTTCCTTCTAATCTAGCTTTTTTTTTTTTTTTCTTCTTTCTTGAGATACAACATGTTGGGAAAGGGATTCGAACTCACAATCTCTTGGTTGGAGGTCTATGCCAATTACTATTGAGCTATACTCATTTTGGCTCCTTCTAATCTAGCTTACACATTCTTAAGAACTCTTGCAGTTGTAGTGCTAAGCCTAGTTATCTCATCTGTTTGGTCCGATCAATATTAATGGCAATTTGTTAGATTTCATACTAATTTTTGAACCACGAATGAGAGGAGTGTTGAGAATTTATATACCTTAATCTATGACTATGAGCTTAAATTCTTTATTGTAGTGGTGATTTAAAGTGGGTATTTGAGTAGAAGATTGTGCGTTCAAACTCCTGCAATGTCATTGCTTTCTCAATGTAATTACATGTTGGACTTTGTGAATCACATTAATATTCAAATTTTGAGGTGTTCGGGAGTAGTTTTGACATTTTCTAAAATCTACAATGACAAGAATGATCAAATTGATTTTGGTAATGCCAAAATCATTGTTAAATATGTCCCGATGGTTTATAATGATATACGTGATTTTAGAATAGAAAATGAATGAATTTTTACACATTTAGAGGAATAGCATGATTTTTCAAAGACATGGAACAATGACATCAATAGCCAAAGTCTACAGGACTTTCTATATGTAAATGACTGCAAAATAGTAGAATTTGTATTTTCTTATAACGATATAAAATTTACCATCTAGTAACCAATAAATATGTTGAAGTTGATGCATCAAATTTTAATTATCTGATGGTTTGCCTAATTCACCCCTGGATAAAAAACCTAGGGCACGACCAGATTGGGCTCAGCCATTGAAACAATCGAAGCCCACCATAGGATTCAGACCCGACCCTTCTCTTCCACAAGGAAGCTCAAAAGACCAAAATTTAACATCCCTTTAATGTTGATGATTCAAAGGCCATGGTCATTCTCAATCTTAGCAGAGGTTTAGGGTTTAACCAGAAGCAATTATTCTTCTTCCCCAAGTTTTTCTTTCTCCGTCCTTTCATGGCTTCTTCTCCCGTCGCTTCGGTCTCCTCTCCTTCTTCTGGCGATCCCATTTCTGTAAAGCGAGTGGGCACTCACCATGGAAGCTTCCATTGCGACGAAGCCCTTGGTTGCTTCATGATTCGCCTCACGGATAAGTTCTCCAATGCTCAAATTGTTCGAACCCGAGATCCCCAGGTTTGCGCTGTCGCTTTGTTTTTTCCGTTTGAATGGAGCTGAAGATTGAGTAGTTATTGGGTTTTTTTTTTTTGGTAGTCGTTTCCCAGAATTTAAATGAGCTTTTCTTGTCGGTAATGTAAATTTGGGGACTCTTTTTCCTGCAAAGTCGTGAGAGAAGTGGGCATTTTGAACAGGGTCCTGTCTGTTTTGAGAGTTTATGGCCTGGCTTTTGTTTTCGGCGTGAAGTCTCCATTTCTGATTGAGTTGAGTGGCAGGTTCTACAAGGTCTTGATGCAGTTCTTGATGTTGGGGGCGTGTATGATCCAAGTCATGATCGATATGATCATCATCAAAAGGGTTTTGAAGAGGTTTTCGGCCATGGTTTCTCCACTAAGCTCAGCAGCGCTGGTCTTGTTTACAAGGTTGGTACCCTTTACAAGACTGCCTTTTGAATTTGTCTAGAGCCATGACTATATTTGCAAGTTCTTACTTTTACTTCTCTAAAAATTGTCGTCAATTTTCTTTGATCACTAACCTTTATCGTGCTGTTTGTAAAGAACCTATTAGTTATGATTATTGTTCTTGTTGTTTTGCTTCAGCATTTTGGGAAGGAGATTATTGCAAAGGAGCTTCAGGTTGATGAAGGGCACCCAGATGTGCATAGGCTATTTTTGGCTGTTTACAAAAGTTTCATGGAGGTGCGGATTTGATTATTTTGTTAACCCTTTGTCTGCTGCCGCTGTTAATTATTATAAATATTTGAGCTCAAGGTTTTTCGGCTTGGCTCGCTTGGGTTGATTTATGTTTCGTAGTCATGTCTGTTTCTCTTTTGACATTTATGTTCATTTTGTCAGGCAATTGATGCTGTAGATAACGGCATCAATCAGTATGATATTGACCAGCCACCAAAATATGTGAACAACACACACCTATCTTCAAGGGTGGGGAAGTTAAATCTGGACTGGACGGACCCCGATCAATCACCGGAAAATGAGAACAAGGCCTTTGAGAAAGCAATGGTTTTGGCTGGTGGAGAGTTTTTGGATGTGAGACTTTTTGAATTCAGAGAATATGAAATAATCTTTTAAAAGAGCATGATAAACTTTCTATATTTCCTTGAACATTGAGTACTCTGTTTACTCAGGTGAGTTACTTCCCTTGCTTAATTTCAGAGCGTTCGGTTTCATGCGAAATCGTGGCTACCAGCAAGGTCAATTGTGATGGGATGTCTTGCAGCAAGATATGAAATTGACCCTAGCGGAGAAATAATGGTTTTGACAACATTTTGCCCTGTAAGTAGTACTCCCTTTAAAAATATATATATAAATTGAGCTCTGGTTTCGTTCACTCACTCATTTATTTTTTCTGGTCGCGTTGGAGAGGGTATTGGAATTATTGAATTTGTCCACTTTTTTTTTTTTTTCTCATTTGCATTTGATATTACTGAAAGGTGAAGTATCATCAATTTTTATCTCAGGTTGCTTTTTGGATCATTTGGTCACATTCTTATTTATGATTTTCTATTATTTGACTTGGTTGCATTTGGGGTAATTTTTTAGAAAATGCACCTTTGAATATTATTTTCTGTTACAACTTTTGGAGTAATTCTGCTTTCTATCGAGTATTCTGTCCCCTTTACAATAACATTTCAAAGAACAACTGATATGACGAATTTAATAACATTAAAGTTAAGAGTTCTTAACCATCGAGGTGTTTTTTAGTGTCAATAAGGGCCAGATAGCAAATGGCTTAGAGAGAGAATGAGATCAAACCATGGTGGCCACCTACCCAAATGTAGTAGGGTCAGGAGGTTGTTTCTTGAGATTAGTCGAGGTGTGCCCAAGTTAACCGGACATTCACAGATATTAAAAAGACATTAAAGTTAGAGTTCTGTAATAGTTCTTGGTGTACTATTTCTTACTGATAGTGAAATGACTATTTCCCTCACTTATACGGACATCACATTCGACAAGAAAAGCTTTTTATTAGTTTGAGTTGGAAACAAACATTTTTGTTGTTTACGATGAGTAACATATACTTCATATCAATAATGTTTCGTGTAATCTTCTTTTTCCAACAGTGGAAACTTCATCTATTTGAGCTCGAGGAGGAGATGAAGAATGACAATTTGATCAAATATGTGCTGTATCAGGTACATGTAACTTGTAGTCAACTAATAGAACGTTCAGATATGTTATTTTCCATCCTAATGTGGTTTGATTTTCAGGACGACAGAAGCAAACACTGGCGGGTGCAGGCAGTGGCAGTATCTCCGGACAGATTTGAGAGTCGCAAGCCTCTGCCTGCTCAGTGGCGAGGTCTAAGGGACGAGGAACTCTCGAAAGAGTCTGGGATCCCTGGCTGTGTGTTTGTCCATATGAGTGGCTTTATTGGCGGAAATCAAACTTATGAAGGGGCTCTTACCATGGCAAAACATGCACTGAAGCTGTAGAAAATCACATCTATTTACATATTTACTCAGCTCGTGGCACCGGTCCAGAGAATCTCGTGTCAAATGTGAGTCCAGGGCTTACTGTTTTGTGACTTTCCGAAGTCCCATACTCTATTCTTTCAATTTGAAACATTTGCTGTAGAAACAAGAGGAGGTTATTCTTATGGGAAGCGAAGTCATAAGACATCTTGGATTTTGGTTATTTGGAAATTGAAGTCTGTAATACCATACAGAACAAGGAAACTATCTACTTTTCCACAGGAGATTTTGCTTTTTAGATGTCTCGGCTCAAGTTTTTAGGTTTAGTGGTAATTTAAACTTCGACAATAATTGCTTGCTCTTATATTAGATTTATGATTGAGAACTTTCTAGCTCGATTTATATTATAACTTCTAAAAGTTTTTGAGTTTCTGCAACTGGAATCTTGAAAACATGTCATGCTGGAACCTCATGCTACACCAACAAAGTAATTAAGTACATAAGAGATCAAAGAGAATCGAAAGTCAATAAATTTTTGGACAAACTACGAAGTTCAATATACACAAGATGATGAACTGAAATTCTGTAAGCCAATATGTGCATTTCCAACGGAGGAACTGAAATTCTGTAACAATTCTGTAACTTAGAACTAATTGCATTTCTCACTTTGATTGTACCTTAAGTGAAGAGAGGGCATCCTTCCACAGCAACTCCAGCAGCCGTGGGGCAGTGAGCCAGCGGACAACCATCAAGGTCGTTCCCCCACCAGTCGAGGTCCATCTCCTGCAACCCTAATGAGAAGTACAGTAGCACCCCCATGAAAGCAAGGCCAGCATCCAACGCCCCGGAGAGGACATAGTTATGTCGTCGCCACCATTCGGGCTTGTATCGGTACACTACGAAACCAGATAGAAACCCGGCAATGATCCAAGTTATGTAGTTAACTGCGGTGGCTGGAGGCATATATCCGGTGGCTGCAATCAATACAGGCATGTTGACAAGTTTGATCCACTCTTGCTGTGGAAATGCCTTGATGGCTAACCATACCAAAACAGGAGCAATTGCACCCACAAGGAAGAACCAATTTACAGAAGAATAGTATCCAAGGTCTCCAAAAATCCGACGAGGACCGATCAACCCCCATATCACTGAGGCATCGTAGAACACCGTATCGGACGGGCAAGTCCAAAAGGATTGAGACGAGCTGCATATGTCGGGGATGGTTTCCAAGAGCCACCAGGCAGTGCCCAAATACACAAAGCTGGCTATCAAGGTTCCAACAACCTAACACCAAAACAAGAAGATTTAGAAAGTGCCTTGTTTTGAGATTTTGGCATGAAGAAAGTAAAACAGGATTGACCTGAGCCATGAACATGGTTCTTGGTGGGATCTTCATGTAATGACCGAGCTTGAAATCTTGCAGAAAGGTAATGGCTTGGGTCATGCTAATGTATCCATACACTTTGAAGCACATATTGGCGACGGGATACCCCGGGTAGATATATCCGATAATGTACTCGGTGATTATGTTCAAGCCCGGTGCTTGGTTGGTGATGGCAGTGATGATTCCGATCGGGAGAGTGAAGAAAATGGCGATACCACAGGCGAGTAGAACTCCCCACCATGGCAACTGAAGCTGGTCGTTGTAGTATTCGCAAGCGAAAACGGTGAGCGCGATGTTCGCTAAAAGAATCGACATGAACCACCATTCGGGAACTTGATTGTACTTGCTCATCAGCTTTGTATGTATGTCCATTGTCTTTTCTTGAAAGCTTGACTTGCTCTGCTGCCATATTTCCCTGCCAATTATTTCTCAACTGAAACAGATCAATTCATGCCATCTTGAAGTCGTAGATAGGAGTAGGAAGCCGTAGTGAAATACCTTCCATGGAAGAGAGCAACATGAACAATGGTAGCAGAAAGAGCAGCAAAGCCAACGCCATAAGTAACAGCAAAGAAAGTACTAAGATACAGTTTCCCTTGTCTGTCATAAGCACCAACATCAAGGTGGAAATTGGAGTCAACAATGGCGGAAATATCATACTTTTGACCCTTTTCAGTGAACAAGGAATCCGAGAATATGGGAAATGTGCGAGCTTTGAAAACGTCGAACCAGTAGAAGACTGGGGTCAAAATGTACATGATGAAGACAAAGCCGGCTGCAATATTGGCGGTGGCAAACCATGGGCTGGCAAGTGGGCTGCCCAGATAGGATGAGATGGTGGACCAGTCGAGCCCAATAGAGCCGAGGCCCAGCCCGTGAAGGCCCGAGCCAAGCTGTTGGGCCAGAATGGAGGTGGGGAAGGCCCAGCAGGCCCATGAGAGTGAGGTGAGGATTTGGAAGAGGTAGCCAGGGAAGACGTAATAGGCGAAGCTGCAAATGAAGGATATTACGAAGAATTGGGTTCGGCTTAAACTCCCCTTGCTTCGCTCCTCTTTCTCGTGTAGAGCCCTGTGGAAAAGAATTGCAATAGGTGACAAATAGATTTGTTATATTTACAAATATAATATAAAGAATATGATTTCACAAATATGATAATTAGGGTAGGCGTCTATCACTAAAATTGATGTATATTAATAATAGACACCATGATAAATATATGTATATCAACTATTTTAGTAGCGAGAAATATTTATTAGTATCTATCGTTCATAGGATCTATTGGTGATGGGTGTCTATTAGTCATTGATAGATGTACAAAGTTGAGATGTGTTGATGATTTTTTTTTAATTGTATTATATTTGCAAATCTTTTTAGTATGCACTAGATTTGTTAGGCTTGAATTGTTATACGTGCAACTACAACTATTCTATAATCGAATAAATTTTAAAATGTTTAGCCCTATTTGACAACTATTTCATTTTTTTTCTATTTAAAAAAAAGTAAATTTAGAAACATCTCTTTTACCTATGTGTTATTTGTTTTGTTATTATAAAGATTTTCAAAATCTAAGCGAAATTTTGAAAGAAAAAAAATCTACCTTTCAAAAGTTTATTTGTTGTACGAAAACAAACATAATCAATTTATCATTATTTCCTTGTTTCACTTTTCGACTCTTTTTTTAGTACAACATTGTGGGAGTGGGAGTTCAAACTCATGACCTTCTAATTAGAGATAGGTACCTTAACCACTTGACCTATGCTCGGTTTAGGTTCACTTTTCGACTTAATTTAATGAATTAAGAATACCAATTTCACAAATCCATTTAACGAATTTGAAAGAGTAAAATTGACTAAGGTAGCCTATTATAGATTATATAGAGTGACAGTTGTAAATATGACAAAAACATTTAGTAAAATTAGCATAATAGCAACTAAATTTAATTTTTTTTTCAAATACAACACTTTTTTTTTAACAAAAATAGAGGTCCAATTTTAAAATAACAACTTTACCCAAATAATACTTTACCCAAATAATATATACCGGTATTATATTTGTAATATATTTATTTACTAATATATGTATGTGATATATATCTTATATATTACTAATATGAGTGCTGATATACTTACAATATGATATACTACTGATATAAGTGAAAATTTATAATATATTTAAAAATTAGAAAAAACATGTAACATATTTTGAAATATGTAGAAGATTTTTGCTACCCAATGCAATTTTTCTCATATAAATTTGGTTATTTGACTCAATCAAATTCCAACCATAACCATCAATTAGTTAATTAAAAAAAAAACCTTTTTTTTAATAGAAAAGTTGTAACAAAACAAATAGCTGTCTTGTTGGTTGGCAGTTTTCGTACCCTACAGACACATCTTTTTCTCCTAATTAATAACTCAAAAGAAAACACACAGGCTTGGAGAATTTTTTTATTTTTTATTATTATTTTTTATTTTTGTTTTTAAGACGACTTCATCTCAATGGATACAATAATAATTAGACCAATATATATTTTCATCTCTAAAATTTTGATCAGTCACCCTACTTTTTTCGTGAGGTTGGAGATTAATCTCACCTCTCGCATTTGTTATACTAAAAAAATCTATAAAATTTTGATATTTTAAATTTTATATCAGTTTCTTTTAATAAATGGCAGACCTAAAAACAAGAATTAAATTGTAAAAGAAAATTTTGAAAATTGGGAAGAATTAAAAGAATTTTATCTTTTAGGTGGCATTTAACTCCATTAACAATAGATTATGGTATTAAAATTTTATCTGACGGACCAACATTTTTATCAAAATTTTTACATGTTTATATGTTTCACATCGAGCTAAGTGGTAAATCGAAATTTCTATTATATAATAAAAAATCAATAAAATATTTAAAAAATAAAAAAAGCAGTATTGACATTGACACCATATTAATAATAAAAAAATTTAGTTATTATAAAAAATGTGAAATACGAATCTGTTAATTTAAATATTTTATAGGAAAATATTTATGTAGTATTTCCATAAAATGGCATAATTAAAAAAAAATAAAATATATTTAGAGTTGATAATTGGATACCTGAAGAGTGAAACTTGGACCAGATTCGCCGGCCACCACATCGCCGCCGGCTCGACGAGATATTTCCTGAATATCCCGGCCCACCCGAATCCTAACACCTAATCTTGTACCATTCCAACGCCAAATCCGTTCAATTGCAACTCTAATTTGACAGTAATCGCAAATTTCAAAATTGGAAACTGAAATCGGAGGCGGAGCGAACCTGAGTGGTGACGACGACGATTAAGGAGACGAAGAAGCTGATGCGTTGCTTGTAGAACGTTTTGACGACGGTGACGACGTGAATGGCGTAGACGGTGCCGGCGCCGGAGTTGGCGAAGATGGTGATGAGAACGTGCTCCTTGACATTGAAAGGGCCAGGGTTGAGGCAGAATTCCCACCGATTTCCTTTGAAGAAGACGCGATTTGTGATTCTGGAGGCCATTAAGCGGCCGAGAGGGACGACGGCGATCTGCGCGGAAATGGCGGTGATGGAGAGCGGCTCTTTGCGGTACCAGAAGAATTGGTTGAGGAAGGAGAG